ACCAAAATCCTCTCTCTCTCTAAGTTTCTCACTCTACCCATCCCCCTCCCCACCCAAAACCCTTGGAAGTAGTTGTTTTGTTGGTTGCGGCTAAGTCCGATCTGCCTTCAAAAAACTTTTCTTTGGTTTTCACTAAAAAACCGTCGAATCTCTGTTTGGATCCTGAAAAAATGATCGATTTTGTCGAAGAAGAGGATATTTACTATGATGATTATCAAGCGGTACGTACTCATTTTACCCAATTTTTATTGTTGTTATAATGGTTTTATTTAATTTATATACTAATTGATTTATGTTGTTGTTATGCTATCATAGGTTGGGCCGGATGTTGATATATACAATCAACGATATTATGTTGATCAAGGACCGATTGATCCGACTGTTTTACCTTTGCCGACACATAACCGCTCCCAGAGGACGCGGTTTGTACTAGGGCAGCCATTGAAACCACTCCGTAGAAGAGTGTTTTTCTAAAAAAGACAAACCGCTTGTTTGGCAGGCGGTTCCATTGTAAACCGCCCCTGCGTGGAGCGATTTTTAATAAACAATGGTAGATTTGGAATTTCTTCGGTATGGATGGTAGTTTTGTAATTTTTTTTAACAGTGGCAGTTTTGGATTTTTTTCTTTCAAAGTATTTACAAAATAATTAAAACTTCTATAGCACTCTCTAAACTTTACACTCCCTTCACAGAGCTAACAACACTAAACCAACAACAAGCTTCCTCAATCCTTCTGCAACTGGCTTGTCAGGCTCATCGTTTAGTCTTCCATCAATTTTGTCAGAACCGAACCGGAGCATGATCTGATAATGCGAACGGCTCGCACTTTAGTGTCCAACCGGCAAAAGACCGTTTCAAAACCGTTAGAGAACCGGTACCTAATAAACATTATCAGTATAAATAGTGGACATTTCTTAATCAGAGCTCATCTCTTTCCTTCGAAATTATGAAATGGAAATAAGGATTCAGTTTGAGAGCCTGACGTTTTTGGTTTATTTCAATTTTCTGCAATTTTTTTAATTAAATTTAACGGCTGAATGGCAAAAACCGGACGAGCGGCTCGATCGGCTAATCGCCTCGGCCGCTCGCCAACCGCTACATAAAACAGGAGCAGCTTTTAGACTGTTCCGAACCGGTTTTGTGACCGAGTGGCGGTTTTACCGGTCGGGCCGAGTGGCTCGACTCGGCTTTAATTACACTGTCTTCCACATTTCTTCCTCCATATTAGGCTAACTGTGATATTCCATAACAACCTTCCTACCTTAGCAATAACAAAACGATGTTTCTTATTATCTTATCAATCAATTTAGTGATATAATAGGAATGGCTATGGGCAGGTCCGGGGCGGGTATCTCGATATCCATACCCACCCCGTGGTATGTATCTCGATACCCATACCCGCCCCGTGGCAGGTTGGGTTTAGGTCGGGTAATTTATCATGAGGGGCGGGGCAGGTCGACCTAATGGACATGTAATTTATGTGAAAAACATCAGAAATATTCATTATTTTCATTAAAAAACCAAGAAAGAAACCATAATATGATAAAATGTAGTTAAATTATCCGAGAAATTGTGGTTTTCTCTTATTTACAACTTTATTATAGCTAAAATGAGGTAATAAGAGGAAAATCCTAAATAATTTGAATAAGATTACATGTAATTTAGACAAGAACGGGTCGAGAATGAGGCGAGCCAGGGTAGGTCGTGTTGATGAGAGGTACCCATGCCCGCCCCGCCCCAAAACAGGCCAAACAGGTCGGGTAAAACTGGTCAGGTCGAAATTATACCATCTCTAGATGACAATGGAGCGGGTCTGGCAGGTACAAATTGTCATCCCTTATATGAGTAAAATACACACAAGATTTTACTTTTTACGATAAAACGAAGGGAAAAATAAGTTATGAATGAAAATATTGATAATAGAATGGGTAATTGTGTCCAACTAGTTGGAAGATCAAGTCTAACTAGTTGAAAAAAGTCAAAATATGAGAAATATTAAATGATACCATGAAAAATTAAGATAGAATGATCCAATAATACAGGATCGGGACGGGGCTGCCTGACAATAGATACCAATGTCCCGCCCCACGCTAATGCAGTTTGGATTATACCCTCCTATTACGGATCATGTTGAATGATACCGACGGGACGGATACAAATTGCCATCCTTTAATAAATTAAAACATTAATCTATCTACAAATTCGCATGAACATTTCTAGCTTTGTGCAAGAGATCGCGAAAAGCCAGTACTAGACTGACATGCTTGTGATGAGGTGATCCGGAATTCTAGTTGAGTTTAATTTGCAGGTCTCAATTTCTTAAACTCCATTATTTCTCTAGTAAATCTCAAAAGGTTTTATAATGCTAGTTAATTTCAAGGGTTAATACCTTATTTTGAGCTCAATTATGACCATATAATTAATTTTAGCGCGTGGTTTCTAAAATTAACATTCTGGTCTCAATAGTGTAACATATATAGACTCAATTGGCCTGACACATGGTTTGACCATCAATTTGGGCGCCGTTAGTTAACACGCCATGTCATTGCCTCGTCAGCCTAAAAATTATTAAAAAAATTCAAATTCAAATTATTTTTCTAATTTCTATTATTTATCATTATCAAATTAACCAAAAAATATAATATAAAAAATATAAATAAATTTTATTTTTTGGATAATTTGAAAATGATAATTTTATAAATTAACCAAAAATTATCAAATTATTTTAAAATTATATTTTTTTGTTAATTTGAAAATGATAAATAATAAAAATTAGGAAAATAATTTAAATTTAAAATTTTTGAATGATTTTTAGGCTAACGAGACAATGCCATGTCATGTTGACTAACGGTCAACACAAATTGACGGTTAAACCATGTGTTAGACCCAATGCTGTCAAAGCCGAGCCGGAGTATGACCCGGTAACGTGAACGGCTCGGTCATTAGTGGTCCAGCCGGCATTAGACCGTTTAAAAACCGTTTGAGAACCGGTACATTATAAATAATATAATATCATAGTAGAACACACATAAAGTAATAATTCAATGATTTAATGAGTAAAAATGATAATTACAGGTACCATTTAATAATTCTACACAACATATATATACAGCAACTAAAAAAAACCCTAACATAATCCTAAGCGACAGCGTCGCTTCCCCACCCATCACTCTCCTTCCTTCCGCTTCCCCATCCCCCCTCCCTCTCTCCTTCCTCCTCTCCCACCGCCGCACCTATTTTCATTTTTCAGCCACTATAGCCTTCTGCAATTCCTCAAAAATCCAAGCCTCTGGTGAGAGAGGGTAGCTTAGCGGGGAGCTGCTTGCGACGGTGGCGACGGGATGGAAGGCCGGGAGCGGGGAGCTGCTTGCTACAACAAGGACTGGCGATGGCGACTGGGGATGGCGATGCCGTCGGGAAGCGCCGATGCCGGGACAAGAGGAGTTGAAGACCGATTCCACGATTGGCCTTTTCTAATTTTTTTTTTTAGGGTAAACCAAACAGCCGAACCGCGCGACCGGCTTGAGCGGTTAACCGCTTCGGCCGCTCGCCGGCCGCTGTATAAAACCGTGGCGGTTAAATAACTGATCCGAGCCGGTTTTACGGCCGGGTGGCGGCTTTGGTGGTCCGGCCGGCCGGCTCGGTTCGGCTTTGACAGCACTGGTTAGACCAATTGAGTCTATATGTCGCATAGTTGAAGCCAAGATGTTAATTTCTGACACCCAGTGGCGGAGGCAGCATTTCAAACCACAACTGTCCTCTTTTCATAACTTAAATATATAAGTATCTAATAAAAGAATTATTTAATAAAAAATACTTATATCCAAATAATTCATTCATAAATTAAAAATAACCGATTATACTATCATACTTTTCAGAAACTACTACAAAGGAATTTCATATAGTGAAAGAAGCGCAAAAACATTCGTTGTCTACACTATTATATAAGCCTCTTTCAATGTATGTTACTAAACAAGGATTAGCAAACTGGTCGCCAAATCAACTTGGAAGCTTGTTCTTAATATAACTCAAAGCTGAAAATGCTCTTTTTACCCTTGCAGTTGTAATTGGTAGATCAAAACTAGTGGGATTGCCGTTGTCGCTAGACAATTTCAGGGTTATTGGGGAAAGATCGAATAGGCATAAGGAGAAAAGAGACCCGATTAGTTCTTTATTGCAATTGGAATTTCGTTTATTGTATAATAAATTAATTTTATGTCAATTTTGGACAAGTAATGAGTTGTGTTTTAGTGACAAAGTACTCTAATACTACCTATACGTGTTGTGTTCCATCACCAATATAAATATATATGGCGTATTTTTGTTCACCGAAATTTACGCTTCAGCCACTGCTGACACCGCGCACCAAAATTGATTATATGATTATAATTCGGACCAAAATAAATTATTAACCCTAATCTCAATTTACTCGACTAAGAAATAAATTTATTATTATTATTTTAGTTATTACTTTCCATGTCAAGGCCCAATCCAATCCTTAACCAAAACCTAGTCGGGTCCTAAAACAAATCCTGCCATAATAAATTCGTTCCATATTTAAGGAGCTAGTACCACGTTTATGTCTTACCGCCTCAGCTCGCCGCGACCGACACAAACTCACGAGATCCTTTCCATTTGCAATTACTCTCTGCAATTGTCCATTTTTACTAGAAACCAACAATAATCTGGGTAAGAAGATCTCAGAAATCTAAAAAGAAACATGTTGAAAAATATATTTATAATAATCGGATAAAATATGAAAAATGCGAATTCTTTTGACCCGGCACGGATATCTAAGCTTCCTTCTAAGACTTGATTTATTATGTGGCTTTAATATAAATTTTGTCTCTTATAGTTATATATTCTAGCCTTCTTCATTTTATTTTTTTATTCTTTTTCCTTGCTCAACAATTATTAATATATTTATTATTATCTATTATACATATATTGTTTTTAAACAAAAATAATGAATGATGAAAATCTCTTTCCCCTTCCTTTCTCTATCGTATTCGCACAGCTTCTAAGAAGAACCGACGTGACGAGCTACAAGCAACAGGAAGGAAAAAAGGTTAACACACAACCGGACCAACCGCCTCTTCCGGCTTCGACCCGACTCACCGCCCCGATTACTTTCCCATTCTCCGACGGCCTCCACCTATTATTCGTTCATGGATGCCCAATCTGTAAGCCCCGCCTCCTCTCTTCTCTCTCTCGTTTCATCTCGCATTACTTCCTTGCTTTCTTCTCCTTCTTCCTCCTCGAATCTAATCCATTTCTTCACCCCGCTTGTAATCTGCTGCATCTTCAATTCGTCTATTCTATTCGCACGTTAATGCCGGATGGGCTCTCCCTTCGCTTTCGTTTTGATGGATTTAACCTGATTGCTGTTTGCTAGGGTTCCTGAAGTTCGGGTGCAACCCTCTTTCTCTTTCTTTCGGTGTCTGCTTTGTTATCCCGATTCTCAGGAGCAGCTCGGTTAGGGTTTGCAATTCGGGCGCTTTCTTTCTCTGTTCTTCTCCAAGGGGATACATTTGCTTACCGATTCCTAGGGTTTATACGTGGTTCGATTCCAATACGGGGAAGATAGGCGTGGGTTAAGAGGATAATGTGTATACTCTGTGTGATCCAGAAGTGGTCTCGCCGGGTTGCCACCATGCTGCCTTGGTTAGTTATCCCTCTTATAGGGTTGTGGGCTCTCTCTCAGCTCCTGCCCCCAGCTTTTCGATTTGAGATTACCTCCCCCAGACTTGCTTGTGTGTTTGTGCTTTTGGTCACTCTCTTCTGGTACGAGATTTTGATGCCTCAGCTGTCAGCTTGGCGTTTGAGAAGAAATGCACGGTTAAGGGAGAGGAAGAGGTTCGAAGCTATTGAGTTGCAGAAGCTCCGGAAAACTGCTACTAAAAGGTGTAGGAATTGCTTAACCCCTTACAGGGATCAGAATCCAGGCGGGGGAAAGTTTATGTGCTCATACTGTGGCCATATTTCCAAGAGGCCAGTGCTTGAAATGTCTGTACCGCCCGGATTAGGGATTCCAAATTCTGGGATTATTAAGGACTTGGTTGGCAAAGGTGGGAAAATACTCAATGGTAAGGCATGGTCTGATAATGGGTGGATGTGCAGTCAGGATTGGTTAGATAATGGTGGTTGGGCTGGTGGTTCTTTTGCGGGGAGATCTAGTTACTGGAGGAAAAGTGGTGGTGGTAATTTAGGAGCAGATGATAATTGTTTGGCGGAGAAGTCTGTCTTGCGTGTTGTAATTTTTGGATGCAAACTACTGACTTCGTTCTTCTTGAGCATTAGGTGGCTCTGCAGAAAGATTTTTAGGATTAGTTCGTCAGAGGATGATGCCTCTGCTGATGCAGAACGTAGGGGAGGCATGCCTAAAAGGGGGGAGAACGGGGCTAACTATCCCGAAAGTAGGGGGGAGAAAGCACGCAGGAAAGCTGAGGAGAAGAGACAGGCTAGGTTAGAGAGGGAGCTTCTGGAGGAGGAAGAAAGAAAGCAACGGGAGGAGGTTGCAAGGTTGGTTGAGGAACGCCGAAGGTTAAGGGACGAGAAAATGGAGGCTGAGAAAGACCGAAGTAAGTTGTCACCACCAACCAGGGAGAAAGATAGTAAAAAGGAAGCAGAAAAGAGGCGCCAGGATAGAAGAAGAGATAAAGATAAGGGATCCAGTAAGAGCAACTCTGATGTGGAAGAACTGGAAAAAAGAGCTGGTAAAGAAAGTGAAAGGAAAAGGGATTTCGACAAGAAAGGTGATGCCGAGAGAAGGGAATCACAAAAGTTCAGTACAGAGCATGGAAAAGGTTACAACAGTGAATTAGGTTATGGAAATGGGATGAGAAATGCCTCTACCACCAATTTTAGCCGTGGAAATGCTGGAACCAGGTACTTTGACAGGATGAGGGGGACCTTTTTATCTTCTTCTAGAGCTTTTGGTGGAAATAGTTTCTTCGGACAGAATGCTAACAGTCCTGCTGCTGGTGCTACTAAAGAAATGAAGTTCAACAGCTCTGTAGATCAGCTTCACACTTCTGCTCACAGAAGAGAGACATGCTCATCTGGTGTGGTTGGGAAGTCCAGTATCAACTGTGATGATAAGAATTCAAACCGACCTGTAAGTTCTCATGTTCACTTATTAATTTTGCTTCTGTTTCATAATTTTTACTCGTTTGCTACTCAAGACATGCAAAGTGTATCTGTTTTTCTTTCTTGATTTTAGTTTCATTTGGCATGCTTGCACTTGATTTTCACCTAGTTGGGCTACTTCTTCCTTGTATTTTTGGATCGTTTGGTTTTGATGATAGTTAAATAGATGCATTATCATCAATGCATGCATAATAATGTACACGTATATACGAAAATTGGTGTATTGTAGTTTACATTGTTTGGTTTCCGTGATAGTTATTGTGTTATTTAAATAAGTTATATTACTTTTTGGGTAAAATGTCACTTTTGCCCTTTGTTTTTAATATAAAAAAGCAACACACATAAAAAGGTAGGGACATAGTTAGAAGAAAATAAAGCACAACAATCTCAATCAAATAATCTCGACAATTTTGCGTCAAATCAAGCAAACAATGCTTGTATTGTTTGTGCAGAAAATTCAAAAAAACTTTGCATTGTGGACAATGCATGGATTGTAACTATCCTAACCAAACAATCCCCAAAACCAAACGACCCCTTTATGTCCATTTTTGTTTCAAATATCAATTTTCCTAGTAGCAGGTGTTAGTACTATTGTCTTGGTCTTTGTAGAACATGTTACGAGCTTGCCTTGATGCTAAGATTTGTTAATATGACAGGGCCCATCAGAACAGCCTAGAACAGCTCCTAAGAAGTCGTGGCAACAATTATTTACCCGCTCATCATCATCAGCTTCTTCATCCTCAAGTACAAATGTTATTAGCCGACCAAATCCGAAACCCCAGGCAGAGTTGCAGAACCCACAGCTTTCCGGGCAACAGTCATCAATACAATCGTTCAAGAATCCTATTAATTTTGGACTCCCATCAACATTTTCAACCCCTATGTATCCTAATGTCTCAAGTAGTACTAGTTTAGGCTTCTCACCTGCCATTGAGTCCAGTGTGCCTCACATTGCTGAAGGACTCCGCGACTTCTTAGCTGAAGAACCGGAGCGTTTTGAAGACCCGTGCTATGTTCCTGATCCGGTATCATTGCTTGGGCCTGTCTCAGAGTCTCTTGATAATTTCCAGTTGGATATGGGAACTGGTTTTGCATCAGATCTAGGATTAGATAGGCCAAGGGCCATGAAGAAGGCAGCTGGATCACCTGAAGTAAGCAAACCATCTCCAATTGAGTCTCCATTGTCACGTCGAATTGCTGATGAAAAGCATAACAACGCAAGTTGGTTCCCCACTACTCCCAAGGCTCAGGATTTGCATGCTAATAATTCCTTGGATGACGTGCAAGTAAATCATGAGAAAGGGACATGGCAAATGTGGAACAGTGTAAATCCTCTTGGTCAGGATGGCCTTGGTTTGGTTGGGGGCCCTGGTAACTGGCTTCTACCACCAGAGCGGAGTATCCTGACCAAGGAAGATATTTTGCATCCTTCATCTCAGAACATGATGGCAGCATCACTCTTTTCAACAGATGACCATGTCCTTTTAAGGTCTCTTTCTCCTCAGAAGGGTTATCTTCGAAATGGTCATGGTGGGGTTTTCAGTCCTGTCGCTAGTTCGGGTGACAATGAGCCATGGTTGCACAAGTCTTGTTTTCCTCCTTTGTCGGGCAATGAAGGTCATTTCTCTGTCAAAGCTAGAGAGGAGAGTTGTCAGGATGAAGTAGTCATGTTTGGGAGCCCTAATGGAGCTGCTTCCAACCTTCCATTTGAGATGCCTCCACAGGATTGTTGGTCCAAGTGAGTATACCACCCTAATAATGCTATGCATAACTGCATTTCTCGGTTTACCAGATAGAGGAATTGAATGTTTCCTGTTGTCATTGGTGGAAAAACGTTTTGTGAGAGGGTGACTGGATGATCTGGGTTGGTCATTGCATAGTAGCTGTTGCTAATCTTCATAGAAGATATATTGTGGAACGTAGGAACATACATAATTCAGGTTTAAACAGAAGTTTGGTGGGCTGCAAGAGATTGTTTCAATGGTTTAGTTTGGTTTGACAAATTGTAGTGATTCTTCAGTCTCAAGTGATAGTCAAAGTCAATGGGCTAAACAGTCTTGTAATGTTTGTCCATAGTTATTTGGTGTGCTTACGTCATTGTTGTCAGATGTGTTATTTACTTATATAGCCCAATGGCCTTGGTAGGATTGTTGCCTCGGCAAGTTCAGAGCTTCAGATTTCATGCTTGATGCGTGGATTAGAAGCTTTCTCTTTCTAGAATGTGATTTCCTGCTAGTCTTCGTTAATGTAGAATCGTTGCCCGTATGGTGTAACCATAAGCTAGTATGGTGAGTGGTCTTAATTGGAAAGCAGAAGTTGGAAGATTTTAAAGGTCTTATCATGAAACTGGAACCTACTATTTGTTAGGCTTCCGAGTTGGAGTACTAAAGCATTTCTTGATGAGGTTCTACAGGACCGCTGGAACCTACTATTACTATTAGTAAGGCTTCCGAGTTGGAGTACTAAAGCAATTCTTGATGAGGTTCTGCAGGACCACCCACGATACTTAATGAGGTTCTGTAGTTGCTTATTCATTAGCCCTATCTTTGCTTAGGGCCAGGGGTAATAGATTTTGATCTGGCTCTTTAATCCGATAAACTAGGTGGCGCGTCACCGAGTATTGAATCCTAGATTTATGTGGTAATGTTGTATTTGAGCTGAGTTTGTTTCCTAGATTTATGTGGCTAATGCTGTATTTGAAATGATCTTGTGTGATGGTTTTGGTTAAAGTAACTGATCAATGTGGAATTGGGTTGTGTGGTGGTTTTTTCAGGAAGGATTGGGCAGTGCAAGGAACAGAAGGTGTTGTGAAGCCCTTGCTGACGACGAGACCCGCTATTGGTGGCTTATTTTCCAACCCCAACCCTGATGTACAGTCTCTTTGGTAATCTGGAGGAAGTAAATGGCTCTCCTAAAACAAAAACAAAACAAAAAAAGTGAAAGAAAACAGAGAGGACAGGACAGTACCAAAAAGAAAACGCAGACACTTCTAAATCTTTATTCAGAGGAGGTCAAAGAAATGTAGTTGCCTCCCTCTTTTGAAGGTGAAAGTCTTTTAGAATATAGAGAAGATGGAGGGATGCCCTTCTTGTATCTTCCCATTCCCCTTGTCCTTAGTCCTTGCTAATACCCTTTTCATATCTTCATTTTTCTATCGTACTTACTCACTTACCCTTAATATATCGCTGCTTGCGAACGACTGCCAGCCAGGGAGGGAATCCAGGTTACTGCAATGCAATGCAATGATGTCTAGTTGTCTACTTAGTACTTGAGTGGGGGGTTGATTTTCACTTCCGATTTCGGACAACATTGTGTTGTACTCGATTCGAAATCTTCTTAGAGGTTGAGATTCCCAGCTTTAGGAATTGCCTTGCAAGATGACTGGCAATCCGTTGTCGTCTTTTGAGAGATAGGTTTAAGCTTTATTTCGAGTTATGCATTTCCAACGGTAAAAGTGCTGGTTTTGGAGTTTGGACTACATAATCTTTGATTTGTATCCAGTTGCAGGCGTCGCGGGTAGTATAGCTTGTGAGAATCTCTAGAATCAATCGACTAAAGCAAGACTTTTTCATTTGTTGTAACTTGACGAGGAATTGGGCCAAAAGCCCAACTGTCACAATTCCGGTCTCTGTTTATTCACTTCCAGAACGAAACAAGTTTGTCAACTAAACTCATCTGATCTTCTTCTCCTTGCGATTTCGCAAACAGATTAGGGTTCAAGGAGAAAAAGGCTATAGAAGAAGCAATAGCAATCTCTCGCTCGCCTGCACCAACACATGGTATCAGAGCCCGACTCCGGCGAACAAGGTTTAATCACCTACGGATAGAATGAGCTCAAGCGCAAGCACTGGAGGAGTTTTCATGGCCGATGGATTTTCTCAAACCAGACCACCAAGATTCGAAGGAGTCCACTATGGATACTGGCGGAATAGCATGGAGCTGTTCATAGGATCAACGGATCCTGATCTCTGGAGTATTGTGTTGGAAGGACCACTCGAAGTGAAGGGGGTTCGAGGGAAATGGAATGATGAAGATAAACGGAATTTCCAGCTGAACTCCAAGGAGACGAATCTTATGTACCGTGCGTTGGGTCCAGAAGAATATCATCGGATTTCTGGTTGCAAAACAGCAAAAGAGATCTGGGATAAACTGCAAGTCGCCCATGAAGGTACCTCTCATGTCAAAATCTCCAGAATCAATAGACTAAAGCAGGATTTTGAATCTTTTGGGATGAAACCCGAGGAATCCATCAAGGAAATGCACGATAGGTTTACTACTATAGTAAACAGCTTGAGAAACCTTGATGTGGAATACACTAGTGCAGACTTGGTGCGTAAGGTGCTTAGGGATCTTCCAAAGATGGACACCCAAGTTCACTGTACTCGAAGAATCCAAGGGTCTAACTAAGCTGAGTTTGGATGAGCTTATGGGTTCACTGGTGTGGTGACTCATGAAGACAAGTTGAAGAGAAGAAAATGAGGAACCCAAAAAGGAAAAAAGAAGCATAGCCTTAAAGTCATCTGCACCATAAGAAGATTTTGATTGCTTAGAAGACATGGAAGATGAAGAGTTGGCCATGTTAAGCAAACATGTAGCTAAACTACTCTGATTGCAGAAAGAAAAGAAGAAAGTAGGATTCACCAGTCGAGCAAAGGAAGGTGATTCAGAAAGAGAACAAATGAAAGTGATCAGAACAGGCTCAAGATTCAAAAAGGAGTTAAATAGTAATGACAAGGCAGGATCACCGAGTGGATGCTTTTAATGCGGAAGAAGCGGGCATATTAAAGCAGATTGTCCACAATTGAAGTGTGAAAGAGCTTATGCTGCTACCTGGAGCTGTAGTGAGGATGAAGATGAAGAAAGAGATGCGAATACAAAATATGAAGCATACATGGCAATCGGTGAAAGTGAGGACGAGTCTGACATGTCTCTAGTAAGAACAGCTACCTACTATTCTGATTACTATAGTGAGAATGATCAAATGCTAGAAACCATCAGGGATATTCAATTAGAGTTCTCCAATGTAAGAACTAAGCATCTTAAACTTAAAGCAGAATATGATGACATGTAAAAAAGGTACGATGATCTAAGAAAAGAAAAGCTGGAATGTGATGATAAGATGAAAGAAGTAATTAATAGAAACATTGAACTAGAGGCAATAATTGTCAGATCAAAGAAAACAGTTGACAAAAAGCATGAATAAGTCAAATTAAGTCATCACAAGTCTCATTATAGTAACAGGCCAATGACTGAATGTTTTTACTGTCATGAGTTAGGACACTACATTGCACACTGTAAAAAGAGGCTCAAGATAGGGTGAGTAACCTTAGGGTGAGTAACAATGAGTAACCAAATCTGGACTCTTCTTTTAAGTGACTGCAGATCTAAGGGTGGAGAATTAAAAAATTTTATTTTCCCTAGTTTTATTAATTGGATCATATCTTCTTCATTCTAACTCGGATTTCAATTTTTTTTGGACCAAATAAAAACATTAAGTATATAAAAAAGAAGACTTCTTCAATCCTTGGCACCAATTTTCAAACCAGCAGCCCACATTTAAAACCCAATTCAGGCCCATGATTTTCGGCCCAGTCTGATCAGGTCAACCAACCCAATCAACCAAACTCAACTCTGGTCAACCCAATCAACCAAACCCATCATCCTTATCTCATCTAAAGAAGCAGCAGAAATTACTGCCACCCCTTGAAAAAGGCAATTCGGCCACCTCCTCCAAAAACGAACAAGAAATTGCCATCTAAAAAATGGATCAGTCCACCACTTCAAGAACAAATATAAAGTGGCCAGCACAAAAGGAGCTACAGTAAAAGGTGGTAATATATAGACAAAATACACTTGCATAGCCAAAACTTTTAGGTTTGTGACAATAATAGCCATTTTTGGCGAAATACCAGATATAGCCAGAATTTTGAATGTTTGATGACAAATATAGCCATTTCCGTTACTTTCTTTAACGGTGTCAGTGACACCGTTAGTGGAATAAACGGAATGCTGACTTGGCTGCCTTCTCAGCCTCTCCTTCGCTTACACCTCAGACTTCAGTGACAGGTAGGACGACACGTCATTAAAAAGAAAAAAAAACAAAATTGGCACCCTTAAATCGGGGACCCGAGCCTCGTTCTCCCTCCTTCTTTTTTCACTTCCCCCATTGCATCTAGGGTTTCAGAAACCATCACCGCCGCCTCATTTGAACCGCCGCTGCTGATTAAAGCAGGCCCGCCGCAACCGTCGAGGAACCCATTTCACCCTCCTCCTTCCTTCCCCAAGCTCCTTCGCCTCCGCTGTTTCGCGTCGTCCCCGACTCCATCGTTCAGCGTCACACCCACCTCCATCGTAGCCGATGCTCCTCGCCGTCCCCCCCCCCCATCCATCATAACTGCCTCTCCTCTTTCCTCATTCAAGCCTTCAAGAAGATTCATCATGTCTCAAAGGGGCGCTTCCTCTTCGAGAAGCGAAAACATGGTTGTCATGCCAGTGGTATGCCGGCCGGTTAGACCAGGTTCAACCGGTGCCGGTCATAAAACCGGCTGGAATACAACCGGCATGAAGCTATGGTCAAAACCAGTCAATTCTGGTCAAAACCGGTCAATTCTGGGAATACCAACGGTTCAACCGGAAGTCAAATTTCCGGTCTTTTACTTTGTGCGCCATCATTTTGTTCATTTTTCAATTTTCCAGTTTTTCACATACACAGATTTGTTAAAAAAAACTCTGTATTTGGTTTTATCCAGGTTGCGGTTCATCCCAGTTCTGCTCTTTCGTTCAGCAACCAGCTCCTTTAATTTCCTCTGCATGTTAACTTTCTCCTGGCGATGAACAGATCGGCGGCGCGTCTCGACGAGGCAGGTCAATCGGCGACGTTCGGAACTCGTCGACTTAATGAACCAGGGGAGGGGATCAGTGGTTCTTCAGATCCTAGCCTCCGTCGCCAGCAATTAGCGCTGAGATCCGCCCATAAAAAGCGAAAGAAGGTAAAAATAAGAAATGGAACCAACAAATAAATCCCAAAAAGGGAAGATTTGGAGGACTATCACGCTCTGCTCTTTTTCTTCCACAATCCAAAGCTCCTTTTTTTTTGTTTCAATGGCGGTCTCGATTTGATCATGTGACTTTCCAAGGGAGAAAATGAGAGGGAGAAGAGAGGTCAGAGGAGTAGAGAAGGGTCGGCTAGGGTTAGGTGTGGGTATTCTTAGGTTTATATAGTGATCGCCAAATACAACTTTGCCCTTAATGTTTATAAAAGTTTCAACCCTGCCACCGCTTCTGTTTTCATTTTCTATACATATTTTTTGTTAACCGGCACAAACCGGTATACATACCGGTCATACCACGGTTAGACCATTTCATTTGCGAAACCGGCACACCGGCATAAACCGGTTTGACAACCTTGAGCGAAAATGATCAAAATAGCCTTGGGGAAGTCTCTTGCTACCGCAATGCGCCTTGTGTGACTAACAGAAGCAGGAAGTCAGGCAGAATGTTCTACAGTTGTCCACATTGGAAGATAAAGTAGATTTTGCTACCCCATTTGTAATTCGTACATTATGAGATTGGTGACTATAGAAGTTGTTGTTTCAGGATCCAAGTAAATATGCAAATTCTTTATGTGGGTGGAAGAGGCGGTGGATGAAGTGGATGCAAGGAGAGAAATATTGAGGCTTCAAGAGAGTTTACGGTTGGCTGAGGCTAAGGCAGAGAGGAGGAAGAAGGAGAGAAAAATTATAGAAGAAGAGTTGAGGAGGGTTAACCAAGATGTTATTGTAATTCGACAACTGTTCATTGTTGTTGTTCTGTTGAATGCTTTGTTACTTGTGGTCATGTTAATGAACCGTTGGGGTATGTATTAGTAGGCGATCTTTCATGTTTGAGTTGTTTTCTCGCATTATGTGGCAGTTTGTATGTCAATGGTTAAGCAAGAGACCTAAATTCTAATGTTTACAGTATGCTAGTATGCAAAAGATGGGTTGTTTCAGTTTGTTACTATGCAAATGACATTATTTTCCACACCATAATAAGCATAATGTGCTAGATCATAGCTTTCACCTGAATTGCACAAGTCTTTACATCCAATAGATAACATAAGTTCACCTAAATTACATATTGCATAACATCCATTAGCTAACATCATTTCACCTGAATTACATAAGTCTTTAAACCCTAACATCCGTGTCCTAACATAATGCTCCAAGGCCGGTCGATTACATGAGTCACATACCCAAAAAATCCTCCACGGAGGCCATTATAACCGACATATACAAAAAAAGATGTGACCCATGGTGAGTTTAGCAGTCTAAGGTTGCGTTGTAGGGGGCTGACTTCCTTGCATGTCTACCTCAGTGGGCTGAGTACCCCCAACAGGACGCTCTCGTGCTCCGACAAGCTATCACAATGAACAAAACATTAAGAATCCAGCAAAATAAAGTCAATCATTCCTGCTAACAGGAAGTAACATCCATGCTAATACTCACATAAGTATTTCCAGTAGCCTCATTTACATACACTTCCACCCCAGTTGTTGCAACTCGCATCTCTCTTTCAAT